GGAGCTAAAATCCTATATACGGAATGCAACACCCCACCCCAACTGCCTTACCCAGAGAATAGTGCAACTGTTATGGTTCAAAAGTGGAGTTTCCCCCCCACAATTATATATTTGTTTTCAAATCAGAATGAACTACTGGTGGAGGCCCTCGGACACATAGAGACTTGTTGGGATATCGGGACGTATCTGAAAGAAACTGGTGAGTTGGAGATTATGCAATACAAAGTGCTGCTGTTGACACTATATATATATCTGCCCAAAGAAGTGGGTGGGACTCTCGTCTTGCTTTGGTAGACGCTGGTACAGTGACTTCTCTTGGGATGCAGGAAATACATGCAGCCCAGGAGAATGAAGAACTAAAGCATGATGCTGGAGAGCTGGGTGGGAAGGTATGAATTATTGCTGCACAAGTTTCTTGGAACCTAGGCATATTTGCTCAGAAGTCAGTTCCACTGAACTGAATACAATTTATGCCCAACTCAGTGTCGATTGCAAGCATAGTGTTGTAAGTATACTACTTATAGTTGCTGCTTACAAATGTTAAGCCATATGTGGTGGTTGGTGGAAGAGCTGGAAGGAATAAAAAAAGCTTGACCCTGAGACATACGGTGAGAGGAGACAAAAAATGCCCCTGCAGCTGAGATCTTTTCAGAGGTTCAAGCCTGCTTCAGATGGGAGTCACCATATTTGAGGACTACCTGTACCCCTGGACATCCAGTGCTCTCTTTAAAATTCCTGGGGCAGACTGCGGATGAAATTCCTGGTTTAAGACGGCAGATGAAACTATTCGTGATGTAAACTTGCAAGCAAACACCTTGATGCTAAGGAACCTTGTTAGCCTTAGAACTGAAACAAACTCCTAGCCTTTGTCTTCACTACCCTTCACAGAAGACATGTCAAACTCAAAATAATATTTTGGTGTGTAGTCTTGGCTTCCAAATTTCAGATATTTGTGTAAATATCAGGCTGCTTGTTGGGCTTAATGACAAATCATCTGCCTGAAGCAGTCACCTTTTGCCACTACGTAGCAGGCCCAAGTTTGTATCCCGGGTTTGTATCTTACCCACAGAAACTAGTACAGTGGTACCTCTGGTTGTGAATGGGATCCGTTCCAGAGCCCCGTTCGCAACCTGAGCAGAACGCAACCTGCGCATGCTCATGATGTCATTTTGAGCGTCTGCGCAAGTGGCGAAACCCAGAAGTAACCCTTTCCGGTACTTCCGGCTTGCCGTGGGACGCTACCTGAAAACATTTTAACCCGAAGCATCTTTAACCCGGGGTATGACTGTATAGCAAAGGCAAAGGATCTATATTCTCCTTCAGCTAAGTGTCTATTGATTTAGGGGTCTGCCAACCTCAGTACACAAGCTGATTTAGCGACCAGCTAACATGTGACTCTCCTTCTACTCAAAAGGCAACTTTTCTGAAGACACATCAGATACGTTACTTCTGCTGTACGAGTTTGAGGCAAGAGTAAAGCTCGGAGACCCGAGAGTAACCAGTCTTCTGGATACAATTTTGGAAAGGCCCAATATCGATACTAAGATGCTGGAATCAATTGCCTGTAAGAGCCATGTTTGCATTTCATTTGCTTGGTGGGACCATGTGTGCTCCACAGCCCAGTGAATTACTAATCTTTTGGATCTCTGTGGGGCAAACTATTGCATTCACGGGCCTCATATTGCCACAACCATTTCTTTTGCTTTCCTGTTAGTAGTTCAGCTGCAGCCTGCCTTGTAGAAGTTTTGGACCAGAGTTAGTGGTAGTGGAAGAAAGACAGGCTTCTGCCACTCAGACAGTTCGCTTTCCAGTATCTGGCATTCCGCTCCCTGCAACCCGATTGGCAGTCTTTTGTCCATGGCAGTATTATTGCTACAGTGGCCACCAGCTGATCAAAAGAGGTGGTTGAATTTGTTTGATACCAGCTCAGGTAAACGGCAACATTTGAAGCAGGAAAGATTTTCAGCTTCCCCTGTGCTTTTGACTGGTGCAGTCAGCATTTTCCTCTCCGGGCAGACTGATGTAACATAGCATAGCAACAGAGCTTTGCACTTCTGAAAGTGACTCTCTTGTCTTGCCTTCCTTTCTCCAGCGCTGGCCATGGCTCCACCGGCTTACTGCCCTTCACTCGCCAAGAAGGCCCTCAGAAAGCTTTTGACCATTAGCAAATGTGAACCCTTCGATGGACTCACTTTCAGGTAAGGATGAGCTACACTAAGGGCTATGCATCCTGGCCAGCGGGATCTCAGTGCAATCTGCTTTGCAACCTTGTTTACAAGTCCAGGGAGGGGAACTGACTGCCCGCATTCTACTACTTAACCCGTGTTGCTCAAATAGAACTCAGCAGGGAAGATGATGCAGACAAAACTAGAGTTAGTTGCCTCTGCCTGTCATTGGTTTTGGCCGCACCAACTGTTAAGTCTCCCTGCCTTCCTGCCCTTTAAGTCCCAATGGGCACCTGCTACCACTTATCGCAGCTGTTTTCTTAATGAGATGGGGTACGTGTTGTAAGTGAAGTCCTTGATGAGGCCTCTTTCCTTACATTCTTCCCAGCAAAGGAACCCACCTGCATTCATTCCTCCATCTGAGTGACCCAACTGATACCACTGGGTAGTGAAGGGCTCTGCCCGGGTGTTTATACTTCACACTTTGAAGAGGTTGGAAGTTTGGAAAGGAATCTACTGTCCCCTTGGAGAAACTTTGCTGTGTGCTTCTTTGGGGAGGAGTGTCAAACTGACAACTGCTTTGCAGATGAGTCAGAAGGGCATTCTACACATGCTTGCATTGAATTCTCTTTCCCTTTTCTTTGCTGATATTCAGCAAATGTATACATAGCTTGATTCAGCTTACTCTGCCATCTGATGCGCCTGGAACAGATCCATATGCACTGGCGGAGTCACAGGGCTACTTTGAAGAAGCTCTGAAGATTTTGGATAGCATGGTGAGGAAGAAGTGCCATCAAAATTATTTCCACATGCTTCTTTCCTGGTAATGGCAGTTGGGCTGGGGATTCATAGCTGTCAGGGTTTCCTTTCTTCCGGAGTCACTAGAAGTGGCCACCTGTGCACTATAGACCTTGCCAGGTCTAAGTAATGATATATGGCCTCAATATCTAAAAGGTTTCGGGTGACTGACATGCACTGCTTCATGTGGTTGGGTAGGGGCTTGTGAGCTGAGCTGTTCTGAGCTGTAGCCCAGGTCCTTCTGAACCGAAATTTGTCTGTAGCCAACATAAGTGCTCAAGAAATCCTGCAAGATTTCCTCAAAAGCTATTGTGCTGCATCAAACTCTCATATTCTTTCAGTTTCTACTAGAACTACAGCCTCAATGTGAAAACCCTGATCAGTGCTGTTTTCTCCTGGTTACTGGCAGGTGCTGCGGTCCAGTTATCCAGATGAAGAAATATTCTGGCTCATGGTTAGAGCTTGGAACATAGGAGTATACTACAACACTTTGGCCAGATATGTTACAGCTGAGCAATGGTGTCGCGTAGCAATGTTCTTCTTGAATCACCTGAGAGATATATGTACCAGCTACAGGAGAAAGGTATGGAAGGATGAACGAAACAGCTTAACTGTGGTTCTAGAATACGCAGGGAGATGGCCTGTATTGAGCAGGTGCAAACACCATAGCATGCAGTGGATGCAATATGCTAAATGGTAGGTAGTCTCTTTTACATCCTGGAATTACTAGCTGAGATCAGCCATGAAGGGACCTTGGGTTAAGGAATTTGCCACTGGTGGATGGGGGAATAGGCAGATAGACACAATATCTTGGGTCACGTTTTCCCAGAAAGCTGCTTGACCTAAATACAAGGGGCTCAAACTGCATTAGACCCCCAGCATTCAATGCATGACACTAATTTGGTTTTTTTTGGTGTGATTTATGCCCACAGATGACCGCCTTTTACCAAGTATTGATGGACAGACTTCCAGGAGCAAAGGGACCCTCTCCAAATAAGTGACAGAAATCAAGTCCACAGCGAAGGCAGCTGGTGCTGTACTCAACTTACCAGTCATTTTGTTGCCCAAACCAGATAAATATTTTGGCTCATGGTTAGAGCTTGGAACATAGGAGTATACTACAACTCTTTGGGCAGATAGAATACAGCTGAGTAATGGTGTCGCGTATAATACAGCTGAGCAATGGTGTCATGTTAGGTGAGATAAACTACCACCTTCTAGTTTGTTAGAGATGTTTGTCTGGAGTGGGGTTGCACAATGAATAAAATAGTTTAGCAGTTGCAATGACATTTGTGTTTCCCTATTTATTGGTTTAACTTTCCATCCACCTGGTAGAAGCAAGAAGTTTCTACACCAGGGTACTCAGCAATTTCCTTCAGCCCCCACCACCTCGGAGCGCTGCCATGCTAGCTGGGGTTGATGGGAGTGAGAGGTATGTCATGTTGGCCATCCCATTCCTACACTCAAAAGGCACAAACTAGAAAGCAGTAGCAGCTGTGCAAAACGTAGGGGAAAGTAACACTCAATTGTGTTTTTGCCTCATCCCTTCAGTAAGCTGGCAACTATTCATTTTGTCACTGGCCTGTGCTAGCTAGGACAAGAACCATGCAGGATCTGTATAGGACATAGTAGGAACTACTGTTGTCATTGCTTGAGGTGTGTCCCTCTGCTACTAGCCTATAGAAATTTATACAAGTATTGAACAACCATTTTCCTACAAGTGGGTGGGTGGTTCCATTCACACCACTAGGCAGGACTGCAAATCAAGCCACCCTTGGAAGGGGGTCTCCTCCAGTTCCTCTCTAGCTGCCAGTGTAGGCCATCTGATAGACTGTGGGTCCACGTGCAGACTAACACACAGCAACTTTTATTTACCTTGAACCTGCAACACAACGGGAGCAGTGCATGAGAAAGGAAAGTATGCGTTCCTGGATTTGTGGCGAGAAGTATACTACCCTAGACTAGGCCCCCAGAGCCAGTGGCAGCCAATACATTGATGAGAAGCCATAGCCCCAGAATAAATCCTCAGCAGACAAGTTCATTGCAACGTTCTGTTTATTAAAAATATATGTCTCCTTGGAAGAAACACTGGTAAACCAACTAGTGTCATGATTGATACTTTCAGCTATGCCATGGGTACATAGGCCTTTTCTCCATGGGCCTAGAAGACAAGGCGACAGGCTATTAGAAAAGAAAAGGAGTTAGAACCTAGAGACTGGCCACCTCAGAAGCTGCTGCTTTTGTGTACAGGCCAGTTCTCAAGAATGTGCCTTGCAGTGCCGGCTGAGTAGAAGTCGCATGTGGCAGCCCCTTGTCCAAACTCCCTCCACCAGGAACTTGTAAATGACAGTTCCCTCATCTTTATTCTTCATAGTCCTGCCAGCAAACAGCAGCTCCAGTGCTACCAAAGTTCCACTTGGTTTCTTGCAACACAGCCGATGTGGAAACAGCTTCTTGCTTACCAGAATGAATCTCCACAGGATGAGTTTTCACCCATATTTAACAATGAGGCCCGTGCACAAATATCACAATGAATGACAGAGCTACCTACCAGCTATGGAGTGGGCAGCATCACCCTGCTGCAATCTGAGGCCGAGTCCTACTCACTCCCTTAGGACCAGTAACACTGGGGTCTCCTCCCATAACATCCATTGCTGTCATTCCACGGAAAACGGATGCCTATGAGTGCCTGATTCGAGAGCTGGATGGGGCAAGACTGGGAAAACGAGCAAATCTCCTTTTGAATAACAGGCATGGGCTTGTACCAAACTAGGGAGTGCTTGAAAACTTCTCTCAATAATGATCCAGCTTATTTTCTTGCTCAGCGGGCAAACAAGAAACTTTTTTACCCACACAGCTTACACATTGATGGACATGATTAGGATGAGCATATATCAAGGCTTCCTGGAAGCAACTGCCTTAGTACATGTAAAACTAACAGTCTGTGCCTCACAACAGCGTGCATTCTGAATTCCACCTACCCTTTCCTGTCTTGAAGAACTGCAGGCTGAGGTTGGCCATGTGGGGTAATGGGGGCTCATCTCGGAACAGAAATTATACAGAAATGCAAAATAAGAGGGATGGTGTTCTTCACTGAGCCCCTGGTGATGCACTTGTCAGGAAGGGCTTCCAAGTGTTACAACCAGAATTTGACAAAATTCTGCTAGAATAAGGATTTCCAGAGAAGTCTGTTCTGAATGCGGTTGGGATATTGTATCCATCTAGGATGCAGATTCTCTTCCCATTTTCATCTGCTGCTTTCAGCTTCGCTGTATGGATCTCAAAATGTTATTCCACCAGAAAAAAGTCAGTGGGATGGAGTTCAGTCTCCCTACAGGGAAGTGACCCCATCACAACAAAGAACAGCTGGTGTGCTCATTCCACATGGTCTGTAGGTTGGGTCTGAGTCTGGAATCTATTTACAACGGAACAATCTTAAAAAATAACTTAAAAAACTGGATTGTATACCCGTTAAGTTCATTATTAAAATCAAAAGCTGGGAATAATGAAAAGCCAACACACCAACACAAACATGATTTTGGTTTAACGCCAGCTTTAAAAAAAACCCAAAAAACCCAGAAGAAACCTCTCATGCAAACACATCAGGTGACATAAAACAATGTGCAATAGGTAGCATTTTCAATTTGCTTTATGGTGCTCAAATCAACTGCTGAAGCTTCACATGTGGTCCTGGGCTCTCTGCACACATCACAACCACAGCGCCAGTTGCAGTTCTTTCCAAACACAGCCTTCCCTACAAAATTGGATTTCCAAAAAAACACTCAGCAGCACCCAAAGAAACCAAACACTTGGTACCTTTAAATCCACCCTCAGCCACAAAAGGGTTTCTAGGCCACATGGCTGAGATATGACAGTAATATAATTCTTGCACTAACAAAGTACCACTTAAGCAGCCCCCCTCATGTTTTTAATTTTATATGCATTCTGTTGCCTTCCCTTCCATCACAGTGCTGGGTGAACACTGCACTCTTGGAAAAGCTGCCCCAGGTTGCCAGTCCTCAGCATGTTTACAGGGGCAGACAGTGTCCTTATCTGTTGCCTTGGTGGCTCTTTTAAGCTAGTCCTCATCTGCTACCTCCCATCTTGCTTCTTTATTTTAACTCTTGATAGTAATTTTTTTTAATTAAAAAAACACACAAAACTCTCAAATGGGGTTTGCCTCCATTTCTAAAGGAGCAACAGGAAGGTCCATGCAGGAACGGGTGGGGACAGTCACTTGATGAAGGAGATTGGTCCATCCCAAGAAAAAGAAAACAGGACTAGAAAACTCAATTGTCAACCATCTAAAAAAGGGACAGGGATGGTCTTCATGCTCCCCGCCCCCAAGGGCAGGGGGCTGGGGGAGGGGTCTCTGATCTTCTCACAAGTTGATTGGAAAGTGGAGACTTCACAGTTTCTCAGGGGATGGGACCCAAATATAATGCCCAGATTGGTCTTCTATTATCTGTTTGATTTTACTGTAAATCTCTTCCAGAGAGTCTCCTTGTACAATGGCTGGAAAACACAAACCAAAAACAGTTATTTACTAGTGTAGAAGAGACATCAAACTTGGCAAGCTCCTTTCTATCTACCTGAGAAGGGAATTATACCACCTCCTCAAGTTCAAATTCTAACATCCAACTTAAGTTGTGGCATCAAGCAATAGATTGCTGGAAGCCAATAACATCTCTATCCCTGTGCTTCTGAATTGTGTGTGAGAACAAGTTTCAGGAGCAACTAACTGCAGCAGAACCAACTTGTACTACTTGTTCAGCACTGGAAACAGCTTTCTGAGCCAGCCTACTTTAAAAGACACCAACACATGTGAATTTCACCTTTTCTAAATCACACCATGTAACATCTGCTGTAACCTCCTAGGGACACCCTGTACCCTGCTAGAAACCTGATGGAGATGGCAGGAGATCGCTGCAACCTTTTCAAAGGATTGCCAGCCCTGACACTTTTCCAGCCTAGCCTAGCCTGTGCCTTAAAGTCTCCTCCTTTTAAAATCCTTGGTGAGCACAGGTACAGGTGTTGACCATTTCACATGGGGTTCTGCTCCCAGGCCTCACATGCCCTGCCTTGCCCCCATTCTGCCCTCTTCCAGGTCCAGAAGGACCTGCACAGCAATTGGACTAAAATGGTTGCTGCCTGTACACTTTTCTTCACAAAAAATGTGAGTGCGAATGTCATCACCAGTCATTCAGGAACAGTCTAGATTCTCACCTGTAAAATACTCTCCAAATTCCTGCTCCAGTTTCATGGCTTTGTCAAATACCTTGTTGGCTTGTTCGTATGTCTGCCTCCGGTTCATCTCCCTGCCAGCCCAAATGGAAGAGACTCAGTACAAATACACGAGACCTGGCACAAGCCCAGGCACATTTCTGGCCACTGTGTAAGAGTGCAAAATCCAAAAATAGGCTTGTGTACAGCTCCACTGGCAATGCTGCAATTGAAACAGTCGCTTGAAGCTGTAAGTCTTCAGTTCAGGGATAGGTAGCCTGAACAGAAGGTGATGTTGGTCTACAATTCCCATTAGCCCTTGCCAGAACACCCAGTGATCAGGAATTATAGTTGTCTGTGGAAAGCTTTCCTTTCTAAGGTGGGCCTATCGGTGGCTGGTAAAGGAGATTCTGGAATCCCAACAGGCAAGCACTGTGTTGATAGAGCATGCAGTGCCCCCTAAGCTGACCCAAGTGCAGAAGAGGCAGCCACTTTCTCTTCATTGCATCCCCGCATCCCCAAGGCCTTTTCCCCACTGCGTGTACACACACACACACACACACACACACACACACACACCTTCCAACAGCAGGCAGGATAACAAATATTCACAGCTGCCATACTACTCACATGAGTGCTTCGATGGATTTTGGCTTGATGAAAATGGCGATTGGGTACAGTTGTGCTTGCTGCAACCTCTTGATGGCATTGCCAGACACATCAAGGATACAGTGCTTCCCCTGCAGTACCGAGGGTGCCAGTTATTACCAAGCCTTTGCTAAGCAGTTTCAACAAGCCCCCACAAACAAAAATCCCACTCTAAGATCACAACACACGCCCTGGTCAGTAGGTGAGTATAGTTACATCAAAAATCAGATCATGTCTGGGTCACTCTAGGGCTGGCACTCTCTTGCATGCAATGACCTCCTGAACCTGCAACATCAGTCCCAAAAGGGCCTCAGTGTTTTATTCCCAATTAAAAGTGATGCTTTCAAGTGTCCCAAGCCCACAATAATTTAACTTGAATGTATTGCACTTTGTGCTAGCGGCTCAGTCACAGGGCAGAGAGAACTCATGAACAGTACCTGAGAAGCTATGACAGAAATCCGAAGCAGGTTGCAGCCACAGCTATCACATGTTGTCCTGGACACAGTTACTTACCCGTTCTGCTACAGCCCGCACAGACTGAATACTGGTCCCATAGAGATTGTCATTGAACTGCCCAGCCTCAATAAACTTGCTGTCTTGAATGTCCTTCTCCATCTGCTCCCGGGATGCCACAAAGTGGTAATCCTGCCCATCTACCTCATTCTCACGCCTAGGCCTGGTAGTGTCTGGAATAGAACATAGCAAATCTGGAATGCATCAGCCCTTTCTGTTGCTCAGAGAGCAATGTCCACAACTATGGGCTCAGAGTCCCCATCTTCTCAGGCAAATTAACAGGTATGGCTAACTTCGGCTGTACAACCCAGCATCTGCAGTATGTTGGAAAAAAGAAGGACCAACTAACAGCAGAATCCTGGCTGCCATGTTGAGCCCTCTCCATCCCTTCTCATTCAAGTATTCAAACAGGGTGCAGGCCTTACAGCCATTGCTCAGGTGCTCTCCATTTCACTTTGAATTAACCCATGCTAGCCTATCCCAGAACACTCTTCTCCCTGCAGGGGACCAGCACTTACGTGGCACACAGGAGCCAAATTTGTGTGGGAACTCTGAGATGAGATCATCATTGACTCGGTCTTTCGTGGGTCCCAGAACGATCACTGGTCTCGCATAGTGAACTGTAAACATAGCCACAAAGATATGAGGGAGCCTTAAAGTGTAGCCTCAAGTCAATTCTGAAAAAACTACCCAGGAAAAGCAGAGCAGAGGAACATGAGAGCTTCCACTCATTGTAGTGCAGCAAGCTCTTCTTTTGCCAACTTACTTTCTTGCCGGGTCACAGGTTCATATGACAGAATTGTGTCCTCTTGCCCTTCTGAAAGAAATGGAGAGGAAACAGTCAGCCTGTGCTGCAGATGTCTTTGCAGCAACAACCTCCCTCCCACCCACCCAAAAGTGGCAGGAGCAGAGTGGCAAAACACACACAATTCTCAGGTACAAAGCTGCATTTCTCTACAACGATTAGTGAGAAGAACTGCCTTCCCTACAGTATGTGCGTCTCACCCTGTTCCAACTTTAGAGGGAAGAACCTCTGAGAGAAGCCATCTTCCAAAGGATGCTATCCCCAGCACTGAAGGGCAAGTGCCCTAGAGGCACACATTCCAAAGCCTGCAAAATAAATGCAGGCAGCAGCCCCTGTACCAAGGGAAATGGGCATCATCTTTGCATCCAGTTCAGGATTACCCAGTTATCAGACTGAACTTTTAGCAACATTAGATTCCACCAATATTTGGCAAGATGGTATCATAACTCCACAGGGACAGTATCTGAATGGGAACTACTTAGCATTCAGGCCCTAGAACTAAAAAGAAAATGCAGAGTTTGTGGCTTTGTGGAACCTATCCATCTTACATCCACACACACAAATACATGGTTGAAGATTTATTCTAAGTTCTGCCCCAACACATGTTTGGAGACCTAGCTCTAAAACAGCCCTGAAAGGGGTGGGAAAACAAGTCTTGTCCTCCAACACAGAGTGAAGCAAGCAGAGGATCTTGAGGGTTTGCATGCAGAAAGTATGGGACAAAGGGGAGGGACACTTACTGGAACTACTCTCGCTGTCACTGGTGTTTGATGTCACGCTCTCTGCAACCAAGAAAGAGACCCTGATTCAGTACAAACAGATGCAACAAGAGAAGACAAACACCAACTGATGATGACAAGAACAGGGGTGGGGTGGGGTGGGAGAGAGAAGAACAGTGCAAGGGCAAGCTGAACAGATAGTTAGTACATGCTCTAAGTCCCCAGCTTATGGTAACTTGGTGCATTCTTTGAGGAAATGTTGTCTCCCCTACTCTCTAGAAGCAAAGAGATTCATGGATCTCTTGCCAAGACAAAAGAGCAACACCACATATATCCTGCCGCCCCCAGCAGGTGTACACAGGGGACCCCAAGCTCAGGCAGGAGAAGCTCAGACATACAATCCTGTTTCTAGTCTGCTTCCTTTTCCTAGTCATTAAGGCACAATCTTATCACTGAGAGTTACAAGAGGGGGTTGGGAAAAGGAAAGGTAGGTGCTGGCAGAGCAGGCAGGTGAAGACAAGGCAAAAAACTACAGGGCTGCCCTAAGATACTGCAGGCTGAGGGATTCCCATTTCTATGGCATGGGTGAAAAGGGGCTCTCAGACAATGCCAACAGGGCAGAAAGCAAGGCTTCATCCACTTAGGATTTCTTAACACCAGGACCTCCTTTCTGCCTTGCCAACATCCTTCCCTAGAACTTGCTTGCAAGTAATCAGGAAGTCCTGGCCCGTTTACTGTACTCCTCACTGCACTCTAGTGGTGAGCTGTCTTTTAGGGACAGGTTCACAAAGCCTATTCACTGGCCACAGGCTAGAAGTGGGCTCAGTTCTCTTGCTCCATAGCAGGCTATGGCCCACATGATGTTCAGAAGTGGCTCAGGGATGGTGTGGCTGCTCCAAGCGCAGAAGCTTGTTTCCAGTCACACACATGCTAGCAATGAAAAGTGATCATGTGCAGTGAAATTTCACTTACTCAGATTCTTTGCGCCATAATAATCGTCACTTAACCCAGGGAAGTCCTGATTCACAGCCAGCCAGAAGTGGGAGAGGGGAGAGAAGAGAAGAGAAGAGAAGAGAAGAGAAGAGAAGAGAAGAGAGAGGAGGAGAGGAGAAAAGAGGAGAGGAGAGACAGAGCCAGGACAGCATTAGTGACAGGAGTGCAGAATGGCAGAGAGCTGCAATAGCAAGTGAAGTTAAAGCTCCTGACCAACACTTTCAAAGATCCTCTCTGCCCCAAACCCTCTGGGCATTCAGAATTTCCTGCCCAAAGCTCTAGCTCAGCCACCTCCCGAAGGCCAAGACTATTCAGTTTCCCAACACATTTTAGCACCAATGTCTCTGGGTATTTCTGAGCCCTACTTAATACTGCTTAATACTAGATGATCTAGTCCAGAGATGGGCAACTTGTGACTTTTCAGGCGCTGCTGAACTCCCAACTGTCATCATCTCTGACCACTAGCTATGCCAGTTACAGTTGACGGGAGTTCAGAGTTCAACAACACCTGGAGAGCCACAGGTTTCCTACCCTTGATTTAGTGAATGACCCAGACAAAGGGGTGCTTCAGCAGAATCACTGACAGAGAACTGCAAAGAGCAGTCACCTCTCTGTGGAAGAAGCAGAGTATAAGACCCTGTGTTTTTGAGCCACCAGACTAACCAGGTCAGTGTCACCAAATTGAGTCCCTTGTTCTTCCAAAATTCTCCTGGGCAACTGGTACCAAGAGGCATGGACTCTAGCAACAAGCCCAAGAAAAACACTGACAAACAGATGGCTTTGTCCATTTCATTTATTTCCCCCCATCAATCCACACTTGCCACTCTTAATGCTACAGCTGACTGCAGTTATCAGCATGAAACTGTTTGTAGATGAACAATACAAGAGGAAGGAGCTAGCCCCAGATATCAGCCCTCTTCCACAAAGCACAGACTGTGAAGACCTCTTGCAGAACTGGAAGCTTTTCCAGGCATTTCAATACACTCTCTGGCTCCCACAAGCCCAGCATTTGCAACCAAGCTTTTTGATTGTTGCTTTTCTTGCAGTGTCAATGACAAGAGAAGGTGCGCTGGCCCGTGCCAGTATGTATGTTTTACATGCAGAAGGTCCCAGTTCAAGTCCTTGTGTTTCCTCATTTAAAGAAAAAGGATGCAGGTGAAAGGAAAGTCACTGGAAAAGCACTGCCAGTCAGAGTAGACAATACTGGGCTAGATGACAAATCATCTGTCCTGGTATAATTCTGCCTCGTATGAAGGCATTAAGGTAGGTTAATATTAGAGCCCATGACACAGGGGCAGCCAAGCCATACTGTGCCACACATGAACCTGACAGCAAACACAGGGCAGTTCTTTCATCAGTGACCTGTTCCCATATATATGGCATTAAGAGAGTGTTCTCCATTAAGTCACATGTACTTTACAAGGCTATTGCTGTTTTAGAGAGTGCCTCAGTAGCCCGAATTATGCAACCTTTATGTATTACACTGGTGCACATCTTTTTGCCTGTTGGCTCAATCTATTTTGCATCACAGGGCGGAGAAGGGAGGTATGCTGGCAACCAAAGCCCTGCATTTTCACCAGCAACTTCTGTGATACCCACAGGACTGGGCTCTCCAAAAACACCGGTTGGAGCAAGCTGCATTACTGTATCCCTATACAGGCTTTTTGGCCTATGACAGTAGAGAAGGGAGAATGTTGGTCAGTCACCAGAAAGTTAGGAAAAGGTGGCATACTCAAGAGGCTGGCAGACCCCCTATCAAAGGACACAAGTTTCAAGGGTGGTCTGGAAGCATAACTAGTGCAGATAAGGTAAGGGAGAGCAAGCAACAGTGACTGGGGATACCAGGAGCAACTGGCAACCTCTCCTACACCAGTGCTTGTTTCAACTTGACGACAGCAGGGAACAGAACACCTCTTGGACTTGCATCATCTCTCAACACAGGCAGGTGAACAGCAATGCTCACTCCAAGGGGCTGTTCATGGCCTTGGGGAAGCTGAGGCCTTTCTGGATAGTGCAGTCCCCATTGCAGTGCCGAATCCAGCAAGGCCTCACTACCACAGGTGCTGGAACAGTATTTCTTGTGAGCAGCATGCTGCTCCTTGGCCACAGGAACCTCCCAAGCCAGAATTTGAGCAGGGCAGCTGCTACTTACGGTCCTGTACGCTGCTCTCCTGAGCCATGTTCTCTTTGCTCTTGTAAAATGGGAACTTTCGAGAGAGGCGGAAACTCTTTTTACGTTTCGTTTTGATCGACTGTGAAGAAGATGGAGATGGAAGGAGGGGGAAGAAAGAAAAAAACAACAAAAAGAACAAAAAGAACAAACAATGGAGTTTAAAGCATGCAAGAAAAAATAAAATGAAAAGGCAATGATGATCAGTGTCAGGGAAGCTACCCCCTCAAATGAAATAATGGAAATTACATGTAAACGGGAATAAGAGAAAAATTACGTGCAGAGAAAAATGGGGTTTAGGGATGGTGGAAGATGACTAACCATTCAGCATTTCCACAGCAACAAAGATGTGTCCCTTATGGCCCAACCCTTTCATCACCAGAAGGGTCACTAACACTTCCCTGTCTGTGGCTTCCCCACCACTCAATATATTCATAGTTCCTGTATTCCGTCAACAACTTTGAGCCAGTTCTAGTGCATCTGCCGTTGGCATTCAGTAATGTAACCTGTGCCATGGGGAACAAAAGCAGGATGCTGCAAGACTAATGGGGCAGGGCTTTAGGCTTTATCTTCATGTCCGAGGACAAATCAAGTCTGAGGAGTTCCAGTCCACAAGTTTTTCTTAAGGATGCTCCAGCTACCAAATTTAGGCTCAAATAATTCCACCAACCCCTGATCTAGATTAACTGTTGTACCACCTTGGACAGTGCATGGTTACATTTATTAAGTTACCTCGTTAACCATTCCTGCGTGCCAACCCTCCCCCCCTTGAACAGCACTTACCCGATTGGACTCTATCATTCCAGTTCGGGCATGGAACTTCACAGTTTTCAACCGTGCTCTTTCCTTCTTTTCCACTCTGATTACATCAAGAGAAAAAGATATTATTACATTCAAGTGTGGCTCCCCGCACACCACTTATCCTTGCTCCCTCCCCAGGACCCATTTCTTTCTCAGACATACCACAATGAGTGGTTAGCCATTCTTCCTACCAGGTCTGCGGTTCTACATTAGATGGGGCAAAGTTTACAGCCGCAGCCATTCTCTGTGATGGGTAGCACCTTCCCTGCCCAGCGGGACATGAGGAAATGTTCACTTTGCTTGCCATAAATCAGTGAAGAGCCCCAAAAAAGGCCACCCCTCCCTGACTAGCTACCTTTAGCAGGCTATTTCAGGCTGAAAGATAGCAGGCTGGCCAAGGGTGGGCAATATCAGCTGGAAACTAGCTCTTATTACAGAATGAACACTCACCTTTTCTTGCTGGGAATGACGCCAATTTGCTCGCTCTCTCCATGAGGGGTCACGAGCCTCGCCTGCCACCACTCGTCATCTGAGGCATTGATCACATGCAAGATGTCCCCATAAGAAAAACTCAGTCCTTGACTGGGCAAGCAGCTGTCCCGAGTTCGGTCATAGTCAAAAAGGGCTCTGTACAGGAATGAAGAACATTAGGAGTATAGGATGATGCCTTTGGCAAGTCAGATCACTGATTCACCTAGTTCAATACTGTCTACACAAGGAACCTCAGAACTGGGGGCCAAATGTAGCTCCTCTCCATATTGTTCTCAGGGTTCTTACTTGGTCATGCTTCATGTCCTGCTTGAGTGCTGTTGCCTGGCTGGAATGCATCTTGTGTGGCTGGAATGTAGCCTACTGTATTAGACTAGGAGACACTGAGCTACTTTTCTCTGGCCCTGCCCGCTACTGGCATGTGGCTCCCATCCTTATGAGGGAACATGGCTCTGGGGCTTTAAAAGGTTCCCAAGCCCTGGGAGCCAAGCTGCAGCACTACAGGGTTTCAGGCAGGAGTCTTTCTGAATCCAACCTGGAGATGCTGGGAAGAAAACTTGGGGCCATCTCCATACAAAATGTGGGCTCTACCACTGAGCTAAGGCCTTCCCTTCAGTAAGATCTCCATTGCGCTCAGGTCTTTGTTTCTGATAAGCTCTCATTCACACAAGATTCTTGTAACTGGACACCTTGAGACATATCCATATACCAAGTAAAACTATTTATGCCCCACAATTATTCAGGTTTTCTTGTGCAGCAGCTGAGTAGCTGGATGGAGAAAACAAGCAGGCAGCAGTGGGTTAACTCCTCCAATTCAGAAGGGCAGTACAGCTGAATGGGCCAACTTTCTGGAATGGAATTGTGGCCCAATGTCTGTTCCTAGAACAGTACTTCATGCCTGCTCTCAGTGTTAAAATTAAAAATTTTACTTTAATTATCTTGAAAAACCGTAATATTCAGCAGTCAGAGTGTTAGCTAGTCCACTTCAAAGAAGGAAGTGCCATAGCCAAGCAACAATTTGCAAAGTGCCTCCACTGAGCACTACACATAGCATTCAAGCAAAGCGCTGTCAGAGGGCTTTCCACAGAAGCACATGGCTGAAACTGTTTAGCAAGTCCATCAAATAGGCTCCAGCTATTGACACTGAATTATGTATATATTTAATTATTCTGTATCTTAAGAATGTTGTACAATTGCTTTTTATGTTTTGTAAACTGCTGAGAAACAATCTGTGCATTAACAGTTTGTTGACTCTGCCACGGGCAATACAGCTCCAATTCAAAGAAGCTGCTCTGAAACACTGGATTTCAAGTACAGTGGTACCTTGGGTTACATACGCTTCAGGTTACAGACTCCGCTAACCCAGAAATATTAGCTCCGGAACAAATTAAGTACTTAACCCGAGGTACCACTGTATCAGTGAGTTTCTCTAACAGCTACAAATCTGTGGCTTTCAAAGTCTGCAACTTTCTATTTGTGTTCTCCAAAAGTGGTGGAACTGACTATTTATTCTGCCAAGCAGGATGCTCCAAAGTTCTTTGCCACCCTGTCCTAGGACTTCAGTGGTTATACCTTGCCCAACAGTTTAACAATCTTTAGGGTGCTGTCATTTCCAGAATTCCACTTTCTCCCCACTAAAGGGGCCACTTTCTGCTATACTGTATTCTTTGAAAGGCAGACTCCTACCTGCTGTGGTCTCCTGCAAGTACCTTTAGCATTCTCCCGGAAGGTATTTGCTGTAGTGGGTAAGGCACCTAGGCAGTACCTCAGCCAGGGTCCGTATGTGCACTATGAGACTGTCTTGCAACCCAACACAATTTTTCAACAAGCCTAGTAATTACCACTACCTGCAGCATGACAGACCATTCCAACAGTTTCAGTTAAAACCTGCTCGAAACTACCCCACCCGGAAGGGTTGGGCAGGTTAGCCCAAGTGCAAAAGGACTTGCAGAATGCTGTCTCAATCACAGGAGCAATCAAGAATGTTACACAAGCTAGCTTAACAGTTAACAAGAAGCCCTTACAGCACAGGCAATCTATCTTTAAAAAGGCAAACTATGTGAGCTGAAAGTGTCTATGAAGGTGGGGAGCTCCAGAAGACATATCCACCAGCAGCAATGAGCAACAAACCAGTTGAAACCATCCATGTACTTCAATGAGCCAACAACTCTCAGCTACAAAACTGGCTTGTGCTTTACGTAACTGGATCAGATTGCTTAAGTTTGGTATCTCCCCCAAAGTTAGGGAAGACCCAAGTCTCTGAAATCCTTGTGCCCAACAACTCTTCCTGAGGCAACAGATTTGTTAGCCTCTTACAGGCATAGTGTCAGCAAGCAAAGAGAAAAGAAACAAAGGAATAGCTCTGCTGCTACAGGCTCATCTTGTCCCTCCCTACCTAGCTGTTCTGTCCAATTAGCTGCTCAAAGCAGTTATCCTGTGACAAACAGAGAAGTGGCAGCGGACAAGTCACAGAAGACTGCACACATAGGGTAAATCATAGGTAGCCTGCTGACCTCAGCAACTTTGTATTTTATTTAACAAGATTTACACATCACTTAATCAACAAAAAGCCTGTTCACATAAAATATTCATTATAAATATAAAAAAAACAAGCTGACCTATTACCAAAAAACCCCCACAAAATATAAATAAAAGAAGCAGTTTTAAAACAAACATACAAAATAAATTATGTGTTAAAATTACCTGCCTGTTTTTTTAAACAGGTGCCAAAATACAGCAAAGCTGCCTGCCTAATAGTAATACTTTTCTCATCTAAAAATGGCTTCCCTTCCAGAAGGCAATAGCAATCCAACTCCTTTTCTTTCTACAGATAGCAAGATACAGAGGCAGATTTAGGGGGGTGGTTTGTTCGCACTAGGCACTGAGCCAAGATGGCACCATAACAATGACAACAACAGAGGGTGAGAAGCGGAGAGGTGGCACCAAATTTTGGTGTCACACAGGGCACCATTGAAATTTAAAAGCTCAAGGTCCACCACTGCAACACACAGAGGACACACACAAGGAAAATACATATGCAGGGTGCCGCTGAAATTTTAAATGCCAACATCCACCACTGCAACACACACAGGACACACACATGGGAAATACAGACTAATATAGCATGGTGTCACAGAGAGGTGACAAAGGCTATATTCAATTTAGCTACACAGTGTCTTGGCCTAAAGGATGACACTCTAGGCATGTAGCAAACTCTCCCAGCACAGCCAAGCTACTGCTGAATGTGCTTGAGCCGTGAAAGGTACTGCTACCAATGAAAAGGCAACATGTGCCAGTAAAATATTTGATGTCTAAAAGAACAAAGCTAAGCATCACAAGGTACCTCCTTTTCCTGGAAAAAGGAGACTTCCAAAAATCAGACAGACCTTCTACTAGTACAGCACACTCAAAGAAATGTCCAGGAGGACCAATATGTATTCATCTATGAGAAAGGGTGGCAACTTTACTTACCGGACATAGAGAGACCGCTTTTCGCTTGTCCGAAGAGAGCCAGATCCTGAACTCATGCTGCTGTTCATCATTTGTTCTCTGAGGTCATGGATCTTAGACTCAAAACGGCTGTACTCTGCAAGAAAAATGATGCTGGTGAGTTCAGGGAGGAAACAGGCATACAACACCTTTGCTCACCTCGTGTCCCCATTCAATTAAGCACAATATATATTTTATCTGCAAGGGACCAGAAAGAAGCTCCAAAATGCACATTGTGAAGACAGTTCACATTAGCTATCCATGGCCAACTGAGATCTGGGCCTAGAAAGCTGCAGATTGTATAAGTCGGATCATGGCATTCCTGCTCAATAGTGCAAAATACATATAGATGTGCTAGAGAGACAGCTCACAGTGACCAACCTTCGTGATGAATGTTGAGCAACTGAGTATCAGATTCATGGTACAATTGTATCTGTGCACTCAAAAACAACACAAAAGGGCAACTAAAGTGATTGAGGGGATGGAACACCAAATGAAGAAAGGATAACGGATTTGGAGCTTTACAATTAAGGCGGCGCATGACAGTTTAAAACATTGTGGGTGGTATGAAGAGAACATTGAGTTTTTTCTTCCTCTCACAATACTAGAACTCAGTCACCCAATAAAAAATGACTGACAGCAAGTTCAGTACAGGCTGTAGAAAGTACTGTTTTCATACAATACATAATTAACTTATGGAATTCACAGTTACAGAAAGTGCTGATGGCCAAAGATTAGCTGGTTCATAACACCTCCCTTTTCAGAGGCAGCAAGTGTCTGAACACCAGTAGAAGAAGGGCAGCTGAACTCATGCTCTGGTAAAGAGCTTTCTCAGAAACACCTGGTGACTGCTGGAAACAGTCTGGATGAAACCTTGTTCCATAAGGCTCTTCATATGTTCTTAATCATCAATATGCACCTAGGTACTCATTATGCACGTAGTACATAGGTGATGCTATCAATATTAAATAGATTAAATGTACCCTGTTCACCCTTTTTATTTAGACCACCCTAAAAAACAGGTTATAGCAATATTACAGTTAAGCAAGGTATTCAAGAGAGGTGGGCCTTAAATAAAAGTTAAGTAGTAGTAGCAGCAGGTGCACACTTAGTGTACAGGGAACTTTGGTAAGGGGCTGAATAGAGATTGTGAGGGGTTTTCTTCAGAGTGGGCTAATTTAGCAGAATAAATACCCCTTTAGAAGATGTGCAGAACCTGAAAGCTATATATATTCCAATGTTATACAGCTTACCCTGCCTGCAGTAGGAGACAGCTTCCCTCTGCTCCTGGGAGGCACAGTCATTCTCCAACAGCATGTAGGCGCTAGACCATTCAGCTTCCAAGATTCTTGTGCATGGAATTTCACAGAATTGGCTATCTGGCACAGGCAAAAGCCTAAGAATTTTGACTATTTTTTTTTAAAATAAAAGCTTTCTAACTCTGGCAGTGGTTCTAGGGATTATCTAAACCAGTGGTTCCCCAACTCCCCCCTCCCAGACCAACTGATAATTGTTGGTGGCCTTAGCAGAAAATGTAGATTTTTCTGCCTGTTGTAACAATTCTAATGTGCTGTGTGCTGGATGCTGTATGATTTTTTTTACTGCTGCTTTTGTTTCTTAAATTGCATTTTATTATATTACAGTATACATTCCACAGAATTCAAACTGTAATACTGTTGACACACATCTTGTGCTTAGGTCACGTTCCAGGGATAGCGCATAAAGTCAAAATTGCATATAGTTAATAAACAAACATACATACATACATCTTGGAACCACCCCTAAGTAAGCAATCTTACTTTCTTGAACTGGCATGTCAAATGGGTCTTATCCCCCAAGCAACAGAGAGAATTCTGAGTTGTTCACCCTGTTTACCGGGCTCTGGAAGGCTCTCACAAGATATTGCGGGGCTGTCTGAGATCTCAGGAGAACTTGAAAGCCTCCCAAAGCCCAGTAAGTCAAGACTCTTTCTGCACCAGGAAAACCCTGTGGGAAAAGGGCTTTTAAGCTCTATGCCTTCAGTGCATTTAATTTGTGCAATTTCAATCGGCCAGCCTCCAACTGCATACAGTGGTGCCCCGCAAGACGAATGCCTCGTAAGACGGAAAGCCCGCTAGATGAAAGGGTTTTCCGTTTTGGAGGTGCTTCGCAAAACGAATTTCCTATGGGCTTGCATCGCAAGATGAAAATGTCTTGCGAGTTCCTGCAGGGTCCCCCCCCCTTCCCAAGCCGCTAAGCCGCTTATCAGAAGCTGCTTAACAGCTGATCGCTAAGCCGCTTAACAGCTGATCCGCTAAGCCGCTTAACAGCTGATCCGCTAAGCCGCTTATCAGCTGATCCGCTAAGCCCGCTAAGCCACTAATAGCGCTAACCCGCTAAGCCGCTAATGGGCTTGCTTCGCAAGACGAAAAAACCGCAAGACGAAGAGACTCGCGGAACGGATTCTTTTCGTCTTGCGAGGCACTACTGTAGTTGAAAGTGTATATGTCAAACACACATAAGTTGCAAGTTGACTATACAATACAAAAATAAAAGCATCAATAAAATACAGATAAAAATCAACATGAATCACTTAAAAGATCTCTTCTAAATATTGCTTCAAATGTACCATTAGCATTTTCTTCAAAACCTTAAATATGAAGGTCAAAAGATGCAAACAGCAACTGTATACAAAATCAAAAGCAGATTATCATCTTATTTGTGCTTCGCACCAACCCCCCCCCCAAATTATTCTGATTACAGGAGAAGTGCATCTTTCCAAGCAGTTTACGAGCAACCTAGAACTAGCTGCATCCACATACAGTGGTACCTCTGGTTATGCACTTAATTCGTTCCGGAGGTCCGTTCTTAACCTGAAACTGTTCTTAACCTGAAGCACCACTTTAGCTAATGGTGCCTCCCGCTGCGGCTGTGCCGCAGCAGTGCAATTTCTATTCTCATCCTGAAACAAAGTTCTTAACCCGAGGTATTATTTCTGGGTTAGCGGAGTAACCTGAAGCGTATGTAACCCGAGGTACCACTGTACAAAGAAACCTCCACTTCCTGCTTTCAAAACATCAAAGTAGCTTTGAGAAAACATATGGTGTGTACAGGCCAAACAAGAAAAAGTCACTCCTAAGCATTGTGATGCCACTTGCATCCTCCAGGAATAGCACGGATTGTAGGAGAACTCCCAAACTGCAAACTTGGTTGCATACCTCTGACCAATCTAGATCAGCTGTTTCCTAATCCATCTCTCTGTCTTATGTTGTTATCTGGCTAAAATATTGTATCTACAGTTATGCAAGCTCCAGAATAGAAACTTCTGGCTGTTTGCTGGGACATTCCATGGAACTCACAGAAATCACCACCAACTGTGAATATTTGTCAATCACAAGCATTTCTGTGGAGACAATACAACTTGCAACTGAAACTTCCACATATGCTTAAAGTATGTGCTATACAGTATTAGAAACTCAGATATAAGCTAGGTGCCAAATGTGGTTACAGTTGCCATAACAGAATACCTAGTTGCCATTTTTGAGCCAGGTGGCTCAAAAGTCCTATTTTTCAACAAGACTTTTTGGTTCCTGAAATTCATTCTAATTGTACATAAAATTCTATTCCACAGGTTGTGCTGCTAGAGTGCAAAACAGTCAAGATCCAAGGATTCCCCAGGCATGCACCTCCAGATGGTGGAGACGTCAGGCACCATCCTGGTGCTTGGGCAGCTTCACTTGGTTGCAAGTGACCGACAGCCAAGTGCAAAATGTGCCTGGAAAAATGTTGAACGCTGGTGCTATGTGTAGAAAAAAAGAGTCTATAACCACTAGGCTGGCCATCTGAGTGGTCAAATAATGGAGCTGCTCAAATGACTAGTCAAATATTGCCAAATATTTTTAAATCATAAAGAAGTTTGATAGGTATGCATGTTGTTTCAAAACAATAAATTATTTTATAATATTTCTATTTCATCTTTCCCCCAAGCAGCTCAGGGCAGCATATCCATTTAGAATGCCAACCACACCGTGAGGTGCAATACTGACCCAACACTGCCTAATCAGCTGCATGACTGATTTGAACCTGGTCCCTCTGATCTTAGTCCAACACTATTAGGTAGCAGCCTTTGCCACTGATGACTACTTGCACTAGTGTTTGGAGATACCTGCTGCTATAGAAGGTGGCCAAAGACAGAAACTTTGATATGGTGACAGATTTGCCACCTACTGATGCAAGGCTAGGGGGCAAGCAGTCCTTGCTACAAAATGAAACTATAATAAGCTGACACAGTGGTATTCTTGGAATGTTTGACTGTAGTCAAGTAACAGGCAGTCTGGTGACAGGAAGAAAAACCCTAATATCCAGTTCAAACCATTACAGCTTTAACAAGTACACAGTGTGGGTCTGCAGGATATACCCACTAAAATTTAGCCTGTACAGCAGCCCTAAGGAAGGGGAAGAAGGGATAGCAAATGCAAAGCAAGTGAGACACATTCTGCATAAGGTATCAAATAGCACCTGTTGACATACACTTTTTCTAGTCTGAATGGTGCTACTGGTCCATAGATTTACAGAACAAGTGGTACTGCTGGGTGCATAGTGGATCAGGTCCCAAAATCTTTTAAGTGTCACAGGTAAGATATTATGTCAAGATGACTACCTAGAAGGGAAGGGACTCAACCCTGATGACAAGAAGGATCTATTGGGAAATGAATTAGGGGTAAAGGAACTGAACAGGAACTAAGTTGTGATGATCTGAGATAGGGTGCAAAATAAATTAATCCATTTATCTGTAAATCTGGCTTGAATTCTAAAATCTGAATTGGAATATATATACATACAGTACATGCACATATACTGTAGGAAAACTTTATACGAATTTGTATCTATGGACCATGCCACAAATCTTTTAAGTACCTTGCAACACTCATGCTACAGAGACCCTGGCAAGTTTTCCTGGAAAGCAAGTATTGACAAAGCACACCAGAACAGTCAATGTAATGCTTGCAGTCTCATGGACAACAGCCCCTAAACCTCTACAAACAAGAGGAATGGGAACAAAACCAAATGGACAGTACTATTTGGGAACAAACTCTGATCAGAGCTGTGCAAATGCGA